ATATTAGGAGCCTTCTATTAAATATTCAAGCTTTCGCAACCAATAAATAAAATTTTATTGATATTTTTAGAAAAAAAACTAAAAAAAAATGGAAAATGAAAATGTCCCTAAACAGTTCAAAATAAATCAAAATATTTTGAAAATGTTATCGTGTATAGAAAATGCAAATATAAACAACCAGTGAAAATTTCATGTATATACGTTCATTTGTTTCAGAGTTACACCAATAACCAAAATCGATTTTTTGGAAAACCAATTTTGCGTAAAAATTCCCGTTTTTCCTTAATTTTTATGTTGTTTTTCCCGGCGCTTGTGAAAACTACTGGGAAATTTATACTTTTGACCCCCCAAAGTACCAACTAGATTCACTTTCCTATCAGAAAAGCTACTGATGAAGAAAATCCAAGCACTTTTACTGTCCTAAAACGTGATGACAGACACAAAAAAAAATAAAAAAATAAAAAAAAATAAAAAAAACACACATCATTGTAAAATCAATACATTCATCGTTTCACTCAGAATCTAAAATAGTATGTACTACCGTAAAATGGGGTGACTCCGGACAGATTTGGACGTTTTTTCAAAAATTAACCTCAATATATTGTTTCTAAAATTATGAAAAAAATATGCAATATTCTTTAGGTATGTTGAAATCATGTAGGAGAAGAATAATCATAAAAGTCTTTAAAGTTCACACTTTTTTTAAAAGTTGAAAACTGTCCGGAGTCACCCGCAAAATGGGGTGACTTCGGACACGTATTAAATTTAATTAAAAACCGATGTTAAAATTACAATGGTTGACTTCGGACAGTATAGATATTTTTAAAAAAAACGTAACGAATTAAACAAAAAAAAAAACATAACTTTATCATAAATACTACGTATTTTATTCAATATTTTGAAAAACTTCAAATAAAATAATTTTTTACTTTTATAAAAATATCAACAAATGTTATATTAGGTAGGTATGTAAATTATAAATCGAATTGACATTTTTTAACGGCATTGACTGCATTTTTAATTATATTATAATCGTAATTCTGATAAGGACGGCCTACTACAGTTTTTTTGTATGATCTGGGCATCGTAATTTTCCTGTCCGGAGTCACCCCGCGTTTTGAAAAAAATTAAAGAATGTAGCACTACAATGTATGAATAAATAAATAAACTATTTTAATACACGTAAATTATAGCTGATAAGTTTGCGAGCCGATTGCCGAAAACCGCAATCAAATATGTTTATTTGTTGTTGTTCTACAGATGTTATCAGTTCGATAATTTTTAAATCTAAAAATAGATCATCTTGTATTTACCTCTATAACATATGGTATGATAATATTATGTCATCAATAAATATTATTTTCTATGGAGGAAATAATAGATATGAACGTGGAGTATCAGTTTTCAACTTTTATCAAACTTGTAATCCAAAATGATAAGAAAACTACAAAAATATGGTTTTGTCCGGAGTCACCCCGCATGTCCGAAGTCACCCCATTTTACGGTATATATGACAATACCATTCGTTCATTCCTATATAGGAATGTAAATATTATTTACAGGATAATATACATTTATCGTTACAAGACTGATGGAGATTACAATATTAAAACTACCTATATAATAATTATAATAATAAGCATTCCGATCTTATAATATCTTTTGACGATCCGTACAAACACGGAATCGTGTTACAGAAGTGTGCTCTGAGACAGTGTCGCAACTAGAAAAAAATTTCGGGGGAAGGGGTTACAATCAGTCTCTCCAGAGATTTCTCAAAGTCTGAGATTCACAATAACACATTAATATTATCTACTTAGTACTTAATATTTATTATTCATAACGTTTTCAATGTATATGTGAATATTATGTAGCCAGGTTAGTTACTAGTTAGTATTTATGTCCTAATTCTTCATTCGTCCATAAAAAATATAAATCGTAATATAATATAATATTATTTAAATGCTAAACTAGTTGTACATAAATATACATTATATTATTAAAATATAATGTTATATTACAAAATTGAAAATACCGACGTCAATGGGCAATGATAATTTATTATTGAAAATAAATAAATAATATACCTATATAATACTGCAGTATGTATAATATAATACAGTGAAACCTGACTTAACGGACACCTGTATATAACGGACACCTCTCTTAACGGACAAAATGACCAGGTCCCGGCAAAAAGATAGGCATTCTAATGTATTTCGACCTGTCTATAACGGACTCCTTCTATTACGGACACGGACACTAATATTTAATACAACAATTTCATATAACGGACAAAAATACATAGGATTTTCATATGTGAGCGAATTAATTATCCATCACGAGTTGGAAATGACCAAATCGATGCTCAAAAAACAAACATCAATAGAATCATTTTTTAAGAAATAATTAATAAATTTATACAAATATAATGTGTCATTGTATGTGTGTAATATAAAAATAATAATTGTAATTGTAATAAATAATTAAAATTAAATTTATAATGTATGTGTATAATACATATAATATTATGTATGTACGTATAATATTAATAAAGATTAAAAACATTGAAACCTGTCTACAACGGACACCTGTCTATAACGGACAATTATTTTGGTCCCGTGACTGTCCGTTATATACAGGTTTCACTGTATATGTAACAACGTGTATTGTGTATACATTTTATATTATATATTAGGGTGTTTCACCGTGTTTGTTCATATGTACAATGCACCCAAGAGACACAACTACAATAACAAATATCCGGTACCCTTCGAGTCGGGGATTAAACTTATATTAGGTACACTGTTTTAATATAATTTATATTTTATATTTTTCAATAACGCCGATGGAATAAATTATTTTGCCTTGTAATTTATTTTATAGATAGGTCATAGGTATCATATGCCGGCGTGTCCTTCGTGAACATACAAGTTATTAATAAATTATATTTTATAGAATTATAGAACGTAGTGGCAGGACAATAACGGAAAATTCAATAATCCCCATGAAAAAAGTCCAAACACCTCGGTGTCCCGTAGGGTATATGATACATATTAGGTATATAATATATATAGGTAGGTTATACCTTCGTAATATATAATGCAACTGTATATATACTATATAGGTATATATATTTCAAAGTAACCTAGTTAATGTATCGCATATAATGTATGTATGAATATCAGAATATATGTATGAACCATTTTTGTTCAAGGATTCATTGCACGCCTTATGTATATTTATATGAAAAATAGGCTTAATCATGTGACGTAGGAAAAGTATGGAAAACTGTGCCTACGTAGGTGAAAGTGTAAAAGCTTGTATTCTTCATTTAGGTTTATTCTATAAATTAGTTAAAAAATATATTTTGCATATACTATTACCTACTGTATACCCATATATTCAATGTATAATAAATATATTGATCATAACTAAAATAACATACAATACAAAATGTTAAAAAGTATCAGTGTATAAGTGGAATTTTTCACTGCTAATAAGAGAGCAATTTGCAGGATATTTATATGGTGGGATATAGGTGCTAGGGGGGGGGGGGGGGGGTGCCTTAGCCCTCAACTGTAACTCATATTAGTATTTCTTTGTAATAAAATCTAATAGGCATCCATTGTACATTCAATTTTGAATTTGGTGCTTGTGTTTATCCCATAGGGCATAGAGTAATATTACTCTATGGTTTATCCTCGCCTTACACAGGACCAATTTTGACCGGACAAGGATAACAATCGACGACTGAAGTGACTCGCAGTCCGCGTCACCGTGTAGTAGATATAAATATATAATGTTGACCATCCACGATCCACCACCTATACCTAGCACTCAAATAATAATAGTTTCATAAATACCTGACTTGTAAATTATTTGTTTAGCCATTTACTCGAGGACATAATTTGTATGTGGTTGCTTAGGGACATTGTACATTCCAGTTAACAGGGTGGGCACCTCCACTAAGCATCCGTGCAAGTACTACTACACACTTGGTAAGCGGGGGCGCCATCGCTGTAGACATATTTTTTATAAATACAGTTTTATATGTATATGCGGATACAATATAATATATTAGTGCTATTATCGGCTATAAATTTGAAATGGAAGCATATATAATCCCTAAAAATATTAATTAATTTTATCTAGGTAAGTACCTATATACTGCTAAATTCAGACCGCAATTACAGTGGATGCTGCAGTCAGCAAGTTATTATTTTTATCTATAAATTATTATTATAAATAGGTACCAGTAGTTGTAACTTGCATGGCTGTGCACTGACGCACTGTACCTACACACTACACATACCTACATTGTATATCGGAATCGGAAAATCTCCCCAGCCCCTTGCATGATAAATGATGAACGAGTAAATGATGATTTATTGCCGTATATATTATATGCCTGTAGTATAGTCATGTGTTATACATCGACAGGTCGTAGGTGCCCACGTATATTATACCTATTGCAAAAGTGCAACGTGCCAACGTATATGGAAAATATATACATAAGTACATATTATTACTGCAAACATTGTACCTAAATAATGACCTAATATACAATATATTATACATTTATTAAAAACTATTAATGTTAAAAATTCTACTTCACGAATCTTATTAATTGACGTTCGTCTAATTGTCATTACTCTTTTAAATAATGGGTACCTGCTAACTGCTTTAAGACTTATTTAACTTATAATGTGCATAAAAAAAATTGTCAATTTTAATTATTAGGTACTAATTTTGTTAAGATTTGTGGATTTCAATCATTATTGATTCATAATAATAAATTGTTAATTATATCTAGGTATCGTAAAAAATCAACGATAATAATATTTATTATATGGCTCACAGAATTTTATATCTCATACTATTGATTTAATTCAAAAATTGTTTATCGTTAAGGAAGATATTTCTTTTGATAGCGTAGTACTCAGTCGTACAGTTTTGTGCCGAATTTGGATCAAACATATTATACAGAATTAGTAGATATGAGTGTAATTACTTCTTTAGAGGCAGCATTTCGAATTTTACCAAAGTTTGACAAGCAAAACTCTGAAGACTTACATAATTTTATAAATTCGTCAGAATTTGCTTTTTCGTGTATTAGTGAAGACATAAAGCCCAAGATTTTAGGAGCAATAATAGCAAATTTGACAGCAAAAGCAGCTCAGGTTGTTCGATTTAAAAAGATAGATACATGGGAAGAATTGAAAACAACTTAAAAAAATTGATCACAAATAAAACGTATTAAAATGTAAAAAAAAATAATAATATACCTAACAAACGTGCATTAAAATATGAAACAGTATCTAGGTATAGGTATAATAATCCGAATGAGTCTCGAGGGATTTATAGCTCTATATTCTATTATCTATTATGAAATCCAGTCTATTGCAAAATGTGCATCGCTAATAAATCGTTCCACTTCCATGTTCCTTGTAATGAGACTTTTTGAATTAAGTAAGTTATGATGGTCTGTTATTGGAGACCACAATCACAGTGTGGGTTTTCAGTTAGTCCTCATTTGAAAAGTGTAGATGTGGTTTGGTCGTTCTGACTTGAACCATTCATGGAGTCATGGAGATGCTTTCGTGTTCGTACTGTTTTATTCAGTTGGGGAGGAGCTTGAATAGCTTGATGTTTGTAAATTAGGTATTTATAATTTAATATCTATTATTTTTCTTATCTAATTTGGAAGTCATGTGATACCTACCACTTATAACCCATCAATATAAGTAATACCCTTAAACTATTTTTTTTCAAAAAACATAGCATAGGTAGCTAATAATTGCCATAATTGCTATTAAAATGTATTTTCCCACAAAATATCCATGTGCATAATATAATATAATATAATATAGATATATCCAAAGCAGGATTAGGATATTTTTCCGGCTGGGTCAGGTATTTTTCCGATTAACAATTAGGTGGGCGTACCTTCCTATAATATACCTACATAATATGTAAAACTCCTGCTAGTAAAATTATTATTCTGGTACAAAACAAAATATTTTTAGTTCATTCCAGTGATTTATAAGATTATAAAATACATTATAATGATAAATATATTATAATGATGTGACAGTGCATGTTTTGTATATCCTCCATAAACTGAAAAACTACTAAGCCAATTTTAATGTTGTTTTCATATTTGTTCCAAGGATTTAAAGAATTGTGTAGGTAAATACAACCAACCCAAATCCTGCCACTGGAAAGCTGAGCTGTAAAATAAAATATATCCATGGTCCGTAGATCATGGTACTGAAGGGTGAATCGAGAGTTTTTGAAAAATCCCTAGGGTTAAAAAAGAATTAAATAAGGTCGGAAGTGGTACAGAGACACACTTAAACTATTTTTATATTTGTGTATAAATTACCAACGGTATTAAAATTCTCTTACAGATAAATTCATATTATACATACTCACATACCTAAATTACTATATTGAATATGAAATACTTTCAGACATTATATGTTGAGGGTCGTTAATCTTGAACGTTTAAAAAAGTTATACGCAACATTTTCAATTCCTCAACTATTAACAGAATATAGCATCAAAGATAAAGAATTAGTGCCCATACCTGTTGATTCTAATGTAATAATTACGAATAAAGAACATTTTACACCATTATGGTATTACGATAATGTTGAATTTGACAGTCGAAATCCTGATGAATGGTTAAAAAAAGATAATAATGGAATCAATTTACCGGTACCTGCGATTGTTTACTTGCCTACTAATTTAAATGAAGAGTCCTCTAAAAAATACAATTGGATGGATGCTAATATAATTTATTATAATTCAACATTGAAAATGTATTCAGTTATTATATTGAATAACAATTCAAACAAAGTATATACCGGAATACCTAGAATACAAATACACTTTAAAGGAGAAGATCCTAGAGAATTCGTAAAGAGAATCAAATATGCGATTTTAAGACGGGAGTATGGTGAAGATATTTATAAATTATAAGTAAGATAATTCAATAATATTAGGTATCCTATATTCGTCTGTTTTACACTTTTATATACCTATCCATTTCAATGTGTAAGGTGCGAAAGTGTCATTCATGAAAAATCGTATTAGTGTAAAATATTACATAGGTAGGTACCTACTTGGTAAATAGGACTGAATATTATACCTATACAGACTTACAGTTTTACAAAAATAAAAGTGTTTATAGTTAAACAAAAAATGTTGCGATATTAACAATTCTATTAAAAGCAACAATGCTTATAATTATATTTTCATAAAAATACACATATTGTTTGTAAGTTTTAATAGTACAATGACTACAAAAAAATCTATACCTGCTATAATACCGACCTGACACCTGTCACTTTTTATGTTTGCTGCATTATGTGAGTGTAAATATGTGAAGTAACCCGCAGAAATATAAACCAGACGGGGGAACAAAGTTAAAGGTCAAAGTTTATTTATTTTTTTACAAGACTTATAATCACTTAAGGATAAAAAAAATATTATTGACTAAAATCATGATCCCATTCGTTTATTTCCAGACTAGGTATTCCAGTAGTAGGAGGTATATATGATAAAACTAAAAAGTTATAATAATATGGTTTTATTCCAGGTGGTCTATGTATCTTAATAAAGTTCTAGTTGATAAAGATTCCAAATATATTTCAGATGTATTACTAGATGATACAATTGAAAAAATATTACGATTAATATTCAACTGTCAACGAATCAAGAAAATGAACAAAGATAAAAACATCGTAAGGATTATAAAAAGAATAAAATATTATTATGGGTTCAAAGTTACCGAACAGCGTTAAAATATGGCCATGGTTAACATGTTTCAGTTAATCTAATATTTATTAAATAAGACTATATACTCTTTACATCATAAAGTTATGATTTAAATATTTTTTTTTTTTTTGTTTATTAAATGTTTTATTCAATCTGTTACACAAAGAACAATAAGAACAATTGATGAATAATAAAAGTAACAAAGTAGATACAACATATCGTAGAAGTCTCCCATTGGAGGTACTAAGGATTTAAATATTATATTAATTATTATTATATAGATATTAAATGGTTTAAAAATACATTCGACGAATTTAACATAAGATAAAAATATTAAATTAGCCAAAATAACACACGAATTAATAAACAAGTTTGATTTAAACAGAATACAACTATATCGTATTTTCGTACCTGTTGGTCAAATGATTTTGTCAAGAAGGGGAGGGGGTCTGATTTTTGAACATTCGCTATTTGATTATTAAAAAAATAATTTATGATTATCAAATCTTTAATATTGAAAAAAAGTTCATGGTGATCCTCCTCTTACCCCCCCCCCCCCCAATCCGTTTGACCACCACTGAATCTCGTGGATGGTGGATAGCCCCCGTAAGTTCCTTAAATGGACTAACAACTACTAAGGGCCTTTCCAAAATTTCAGGAATATTCAATAATGCTTTCAGCGTTCCGCGGTGTACGTATTACGTAAGACAAGAGCGTATCCAGGATTTTTTAAAGGGGCGTGCTTTAATTTAATATTTAAATACAACTGTGAGGTGTGTTTCAACACCAAACACCCCCACCATAAGACCACGCGCATAACCGTGTTTTAAAACTGTACATTTGTATACGAAGGTTGCTGCAAAAGTGCAAAATGTTATCTACACATGCATCAGCATACCAAACTTATAAGGGATTCTGTAAGCCTCTTCGTTAATATAATATAGCGAATTATCAACCACACCTCCCCCCAAACGCAAAATGCCGACTGCACCACTGACATACGTAAACACGCGCGTCCTGTCGGTGGAATTTAATAACAAACCGTTGGCCGTGCTAATTAAATATTAGTGGCGGCGGCGATATTTATATTCCTTGAAAATATTGCAATATTTTAATCCGTTGTTCCATCGATGAGTGTGACGTGTCTTTATAGAACTCAATAGAATTTTCACGCAGCAACGGCTACCTAGCGACCGCCGTCGATTGAAACATAATTCATTATTTGTACGAACGCCAGCAGTAACGTAAGTTGTAACGCTACGTACCAAATACTTTTTTTCCAATTTCCATTTTACGTGTTACATTTTTTTTCAAATGGTGAGTTATTTTCTTATTCTATCGTAATTATGCTTGATTCGCAAAACCGTATTATAATTGATAATATTATAACTACCGCTTAATATTTTTTATACATTTTTATTTTCGAATTACAAATATCTCTTTTTATAATTACCTATTCATTCACTTTGTATTAAAATAATTTAAATTAAGTATAACGTTCATAATATTTTAAACAAATAAAATTAAGTAGGTACTCAAAATAATATCGGGATTATGTCGGATTTTTTTTTAATGTTAGTTAGTATTTTAATTAATCCGATTTCATTTTTTTTCTATCTCGATAATATTTTAATTACAATTAATATTTAACAATTTTACATCTAAAATAAATTTAGGTATGATATAAGGACATTTAATGTGTTTGCAAAAATGAATTGGTTTTACACTTTTACATATTGTTCAATCAATTCAAATAGTTTTAATTTTCTCTTAAATTAATCTGGTTTTTTTTTTAAAAAAAATGTCTTGTTAAATCATAATTTTATTTTATTTGTTCGGTTAACTAAAAACGATAAATTATTTAAATGTTCCAAATTAATTTTTGTCCTTATACGTTTAATTATTTTTTGTGGAATAAAAATATAAATCAATAGATTCACTCAAAATCATAATTTATATCAGTAATTATTTATTTCAAAATAATGAAGAATGTTTTAGCTTAAAATATAAAAATTCTCACAATATTAAATTCAAATTACATCCAGGTTCTTTAATTGTTATCGTTTAAGTATTAAACCATTCAATTATTTAGATAAATTTATTAAATAGTAATTACTAACGAAAATTCCGTGCATTATTTAAATACGTTATTTATTTAAGTACCTACATTTGAATTATTTTTAATAATATCTATAAATGATTTTATATTATATTTTAATTGATAAATATTATTCATTTTTACGCTTTACGGAAAACAATTTGTATTAAAAATATCTTAATAGGCTGTACTTTTAAGATATTTTCTAGATTATTAAATATTTTGTAACGATATTATTTTGTATGTCAATAAAATTAATTATTAGTATTGGTATATGTATACATAATTAATTTCTCAACATTTCAATACACAATTAATTAATGTGTACAATAATACTACTTATTATCATATATATATCATATTTTATGACGTGTAGCTACACAATGTATACAGGAATAAAATATTGTGTTCGTACCACTATGGTATAGCCATCGTAAGAACGCTACTGGGCGGCGACCAAAATTCATCCGATCTCGCGCATTCCCACCACTAAACCTTCCCGAACGCTGGCCGCCGTCAACTCTGGCCGCCGCCACTGTCGCCGCCATCGCTACTGTCGCTGCCACTACTGCCTATTTACGGTGGCGACTAGATGGTAGAGTGGGAGAAACTTGGGTACGAAACTGCGGAGCTCGGTCATTTGGATGCGCGAACGAGTAGCGTTCTTACGATGGCTATAGTATAGGATTCGAAAATAATTTTACACTCAAGTCATATTTAAAAATGTCATATTCTCGCTGTACGACGATATTTGTTTTAAATTATTGAAAATATAAATTAATTCCGTATAACACTATTGGCTGTTAATAATCAATCTATAGTATATTTTTAAAATCGTTGTATATTTCTTTGACAACCGTTTTTGTTTAATTACTATTTGGTTTCGAATAACGCGTTTTCATTAATCTCGCGAACGTTTTTGTATTACTCATTTAGTCGTTTCGTTGTTAAATTGGATTTGTTCTAAAATGTATTTCAATCATGGTAAGTACAACAACACAATATTATTCTAATTTGATTAATTAATATAGACATAATATCGTAACATGGTATAACAGTATAGGTACTTAATTATATACTGACTGGTAGATGTACCCATCGTTAAATTTAATGGACGGCGGCGCGGCGGTGGTAACGCAAACCCGTCGGCTGCGGCGCCGCAAGGCGAACGGGCTAGGCTATAATAAATAATAATTATTACAATAATTACATCGTATAATATAATTGTTCAACGATGATCTCACGGCGGCCAAGAATCATTTCGTTTTAGCGACACTTATACCTTACCCGTATACTATTGAAAACGTAACGAATCGCGTGGATGGTGGATCATGATATAATGCTGCTCACATCAAATTTAATTTCGTGTTAATTTTTTTTCAGCGTGAATGTATATCCCTACATGTAGGACAAGCTGGCGTCCAGATCGGCAACGCGTGTTGGGAACTGTACTGTCTGGAGCATGGTATCCAACCGGACGGACAAATGCCGTCCGACAAGTCTCCCACACAACAATTGCCAATCATAAATGTTTCATAAATGTCTAATTTTGGCTGGAAATTAAATGTTTACAATTAAATAATTATACAACCATGATTTAACATTTAATTTTTTAAAACATTAATTAAAATATTTTTTATTATTTAAAATATATTAAAAAAAATGTAATTAAAATGTAATTAATATTTAATAAGAAAAAAATGTTAAAAATTAATTATAATTAAATGTTAAGGAATATGTCTAAATAAAACACCGAAAATTCAATGAAAATTAAACCTTAAAAATGATCTAAAATAAAATATATGAATCATCTTTAGAAACTAATAATATCATCTAATAAAACTTAATAAACACGTAATATTATTATGAATTTCATGTACAGTCAAAATATACAATAATTGATGCCTGTACCTAATACAGTAATAATATTATTATATATTATGTACAATATACTATATATAGCCATATAGGTACTTAATTATTGTGTATAAAACTTTATTTAATTACATATTGATTTATTTTCATATAATATAATATATATACCATTAATTGTAATATATGTATACAATAATTATACTATATATATATATATATAATAATACATAGCTAGGTCACATAAATAATTGATAGTTATAGTGGCGGATCCAGTAGTTTTTAATTTTTTTTGGGAGTGGGAGGGGGTAAAAGTATCAAACAATTTACGAAATTATTAATATACTATTACATATGGCACATGCTGTCTGCAATAAGTATAAATTAATAAAAACACAGACTAAAATATAAAACAACTTGGGTGTTGAGGATCCTCGAGTAGTGCAAATAACCCCTTTATTACTAGATAATTGAACCGGATTAATAATATTAATTAAATTAAATATTTATGTATGCAATAAACTATCATGAAATATATATAAAAATACAATTATTTTATACTGCTATATGAGTATATAAACTCAGTAAACAGTGGCATGCAGAACTTTTTCAGTAACTGAGTATCGTACCCATTACACGTAGTCAGGCGCGTATCCAGAATTTTATTTCGGGAGGGGCTGAACAAAATTATCAACATAGTCACACAATAAACAAAAAGTGGGTAAGTGGATGTCGCTCTGCTGTACAGTAGGTAACAAGTGGGTCACTGTAATGGATGGTGTAAAATTTGAATTCAATGATATAATATCATTGTATAAGAAAAACGATTCTAAGCGAAAACGGTCAGTCAGCCTATGATATTACTAAGTACCTATATTTGATGATATTATTGTGAATAAAGTAATTTATATATTTACCTATTTACGTGGACCATTGTTTTAAATTTTTAATCCTTAAGGGGTATGAATAGTATTGAAAAAATCTATAAAAATGTACTTTTGTATTTCCAATAATATGGTTTATTAAATGGTTTGAGAGTAAAAACAACTATTATCAATATTGTAGAAGAGAAGTTAATCTGTGCCTGTATAGAAGTCAAATTTTAATATTTGTAATTACTAACCCCAATTATTCAAATTCAAAAAGTAAAATATCATAAGTTTTAACTTTTAGAGTTAAATATTGGACATTGAAAATAAAATATCGAAAATCGACTCCTATACAAGCCTAGATAAACTCCTTCTCTTCAATTTGTATAATAGGTGTTCATACTGTAATGTCACTCAGTAAGCTATATTATTGGAAATACGAAACTAAGTTTCAGTGTTTCACTAAAATTCACATTTGTAATTAGAGTGTAAAATGTTCCGCTAATGACATGTGCGTGCACGTGCGGGTGTGCTCCACTATTTATTTTATACACAGTCACCCACACTAATAATCACTTACTACGCACACATTTACACGACCCGCATGCACACCATTAGAAAATTGCCTATACCGAACTCCTTAGAAACGGTCGGTATGCATACCCCTTAACTATGAAAGTTGAACATTTTATAAATTTTTAATTACAAAATATTTATTATATTTTAAATTTGATACATTTTGTCAAAATTCGAACTTTAAATGATTATAAGAAAAAATTGTGCCTATGTATTTTTAATATTTTTCAACTAAGATTGTTACAATATATCAGGAGCCTTGCGTTAAATTTTCACGCTTTTTACCCAACAAAAAATTTTTTATTGATATTTATAGAAAAAAAACTAAGAAAAATGAAAACTGTCAATGTCCGTAAATAGCTCAAAAAGAGACAAAATATTTTCAAATTTTTTTGGTGTATAAAAAATGAAAACATTCAGCAAAATTTTAAGTTTTGTGATTTTTCCGTATTTTGTCAAGATTCGAACTTTAAATGCTTATAAAAAAAACTATGACTAAGGATTTTTAATATTTTTCAACTGCTATTGTAACAATATAGCAGGAGCCTTGTATTAAATTTTCAAGCCTTTTTACCCAACAAATAAAGTTTTATTGACATTCATATTTTTTGGATTTTCTTGAAATTTCAGGGGGGGCTGCAGCCCACCCAGCCTCCCCCATAAATACGCCCCTGCACGTAGTCATAACTTACTATCGCATAATATAATTTTTTACCAAGTTTTATTTCTAGTTAGTATTGCTAGTAATAAATACTTATCAAAATTTCTTACCAAAAATACCAACCACTGACCAGCTACCACCAGTACCACCAATTTTCAAGTGGCGCCTATAGGTCCTATTAGCACAGAATAAGCTATTAGTGACATTTTGCACCTCACTGCAGAGTATAATATATAATAATATAATAATACCTGATATTATTATTAGTTATTACTCTGTTGTTCATTAGGTGTCGTGTTGAATATGTGTTAAATACTCAAATATGAATTCAATGATATAAAAATCAATGTTAACAAAAAACGATTCAGAATGAACATTATAATGTCAGCTAATAATTTATATAATATATTTTATGATATAATTATTGCCATTGAAGTAGGTAATTTATTTTACTATTAGACCATACATAATATAACAGCGTGTCAGCGTAGGTGTCCTATGCTAAAAACTTTTGCATTTAAAAATATAATCGCTGCACAAATACAATATAAGTTATAATATAATTATAAAATGTCAAGATTCCAGATAAATAATATTTTAAAAATTAGGTAAAACAAACTTGTGTTACGCGATTATTTGTACTATCCTTGTACTAGCTAGCTAATCCTTATAAGTTATAACTATAAAAATTGAACATTTTATAAATTTTTAAGTACGAAATAATATTTCCAAATTTTCAATTTGATGAATTTCGTCTTAATTTGAACTTTAAATGCTCATATAAGAAAAAATTAAAATTATGCCCATGTATTTTTATAATTTTATATAACATAATATGACTATATGAGGAACCTTTTATTACATTTTCAAGCTTTTTGACCTATTGAAATTGTATATTGTATACCTATGTATAGAAAAATATGAAAAGAAATTTAAAATTTCTAATGTCTATAAAAAAAAATAGCCCAAAAAGAATCAAAGTATTTTGTAATTTTATCATGTATCTACCTATAGAAAATGGTAGTATAAAAATTAGGTGTCGATAAATTAAATTAAATTAATTTAAGTATATCAACATAATATGTGCAGTTGTACTAATACGTAATGGCCAATACTTATACTAATACGTTCTACTATATAATATTTATACAAACTATATATAGTTTTTTAATAAGAAAATCGTTCCATGAGAAATCGTATGGGGAACACCTATAATGTAATGTCGTAACATTTCAACGCTCATAACTGCTATGAGGTAGCTCTTTATTTTTGCAAAATGTATAAAATAATATGTGGAAAATATTAGCCCATTTTTTCTCTTCAAAATGTGCAATTTCGCAATTGCGTATAAAATGATTTTACTGTGTAAATGATTTCTTCTTTTATTACCTATCTATATAGTGTCTACAGAAATGTAAACAGGTAAACTCTGTATTTTGTATCCTATTGCGTACATAGTAACATATTATTATACAAAGCGTCATATCGTTATTGACTTGTTATTGTCAGTCGATTTGGAATTATATCGTCATTTGTCTCACCGAACACAGTGACGATCGTTATCGGGGTATCTACCGAAATAGATTGGACGATTGCTGCTAACTTAAATAAAATCTTGAGTCATTACCAACTTTTACTTATTAATTATGGTCATGGATAATATTATAATATACTGGATAGAGCATAGACATTATATTATATTAACTGGTTATTATTAAGATATATTCATGGTATATTTTAAACCGTGGTCTATACCTACTACGCGGGTAATATAATTGCGAAGTGGTAACACCGGGACCCAACTGTATCGACTGCACTTGCACAGGAAAAACCTTTTGATTAGACGACGTGCATGAAGTAATAATAACTTTATGATTAATTTAATGAGATCGCAAACCAACGCTGTCCGACGTGTCCGTACCCCCCGGGCCCCACGCCGGGCAGTTCACCACACAAGTCATCGTCATCGGCGTAAACCGAATCTCTGCGCGACAGCCTGCTGCCCCTCTAGACGATATCTTTCCGTTCTGTGATTGGCTGACCGCCGACAGTGTTCGGAAACCGTCGTTGATTTATAGTTTATAGTTTATACCGAGTGGTATATTCTTTAATATATGCCCTATGGTGTTATATTATACTATATTCTTATAGTGAACGCCGGACGGGTACACGTTGTCTTTTCGTAAATCGTAACCGCCGTAGCGCGAAGTGATCGTTGGCGCGTGTATATAGCAAAAGTTGCGATTATTAATGAGTTGGTGCTAACGCGTTTTAGCCATATTGTCAATAACAGCAGTTTACGTACAACTATTCATGTCGTTTAGGTGTTCGATCTAGTCTATACTGATTATACTTTCGTTTTGGGTTGCGGTGAAAAAACGCGTAACGTGCGCCATTTGTCGTTTTTTCCTGAGCCGCGTTTGCTCGTCAATATCACCTTTGTGTTGTGTACCTGACCAGGTCTGTGCATTGATTTGTGGAGTTGCCATCTGCCTTTACGTGCTGCCGAATTGTCCGCGATCGAACGTCGTTCTAGTGCGAGAAGTCTTCAAGCCGCCACCCACCCATAGTATACGTGGTTCACGGCCCGCCACCTGCCCACAGTACACGTGGTTCACGGCCCACTGGTGCAAGTCAAAAAAGGTAGATTAATAAATTTCTTTTGGTCGTCTCAAGTACCTATATTATTTATTTATTTTTACCTACCTACGCAAGTTGTGGCAGACAATTGCCAAAGACAATTGTAAGATCTGTCGCAGCGCAACATAAATTCTATAATTATTTAAAACACTTTTTACAGGTTAACCTCAAGTTATCAGCAGAATATTATACAAAACAGTGTACGTGTGCTATACAATAAAGGTATAAAGGCGTACCTATAACATACTTTTTTTGTTCAATCCTTATTTAGATTCTTGTAAATTTTACTTTTTAAAATAATATTTAGGTTTTATTTTAATTTGTTATAGGTACCTATTATGTATATTGGTACTTACCAGCTGTTATATCTTTTATAATTACCTAGGTCCTATTATATTACATTTCATATTAATTTCTAATAATTTTAACTAAACTATTGCATTATTTTACATTAATAAATTATGTCTCGTCAAATTCATAATAGTCTGTCAACTAAACGCCGTAGGTTTTTAGAAGAAATTGAAATAATTGATGTTTATAGAACTTGTCCACACCCAAATGTATCTAGAAATAATACAACTGTACATCAGCAACATCAAGGCAATGTTAGTTATAATATTATTGTCGATAATGAAAGTCAAGTATCAAATTTAATTTCAGATGAACTTAATTTTCCTTCATTGTCACAATGCATTGATGATAATAAATATCTTATACTGTTTCTGATAGTGATGATACCGATGACGAGGAGTTGAATCATTTTAGTTTTTTTAATGATAATGAAGATTCAATAATTAAATTGATTACGAAATGGGCAGTCACATATAATATTACTAACAGTGCCTTGTCTGCATTGTTAAAGTCTTTAAAATCACATAGGTGTTTTAGTAATATTCCAATAGATGCTAGAACTATACTAAAAAATAATAATTCTAATCTTCCAATGGAAATACAATCTGTTCCCCCGGGGAGTTATCATCATTTTGGTATTTCTAAAGGCATAAAATATTTGAGTAATTATGTGCAGCTCAATGATGAATCAATTAAAATACTTATAGGTATTGATGGGTTACCTCTTACAAAGAGTTCATGTAGTGTATTTTGGCCTATTCTTGGATGTGTTCAGTTGTTTAATTCGCATTATGTTTTTCTAATTGGTCTGTATTGGGGTTATGAAAAACCTCTAGAAAGTAATTTATTTTTAAAAAGTTTCATAAATGAGCTCAAAGAATTGTCTATGAATGGTATATTTACAAATTTTGGCCAAAAGCACATTATAGTTAAAGGAATTTGTTGTGATGCACCTGCTAAAAGTTTTATTTTAAAATGCAAGGGTCACAATGGTTTTTATTCCTGTACGAAATGTACTACTGAAGGTATTTTTTTTGAAAGAAGGGTTTGCTTTCCTGAAACAAAATTTATAAAAAGGACACACTTAGATTTTTTAAACCGAGTTGACGAAGAACATCATATGACAGAAAAAATATCATTAATTACTGAAATTCCTAACGTTGATATAGTTAATGACTTTCCACTTGATTATATGCACCTTGTGTGTTTAGGAGTAGCAAAAAAACTTATTTTATTGTGGTTAGGCCATATGAAAAATTCTCCCTTATCGGTACGATTACAAAATATAAAAATACAAACAATTTCCAGTCATCTTTTATCACTAAAATCTAATATGACTTATGACTTTTCTAGAACTCCTAGAAGCCTTACAGAAATTCTAAGATGGAAGGCTACAGAATATAGGTTATTCCTTTTGTACACCGGTCCGGTTGTTTTAAAAAATATTCTTAGTGATGTATGTTACTCACATTTTATATGCTTACACACTTGTTTCAGAATTCTTTTAACTCCAAATGTTGACATAAAACTGATTAATTTTACAGAAAGATTATTAACATATTTTGTAGATAAATTTGGTGAAATATATGGAAAACAAATTATGAGTCATAATATCCATGGGTTGTTGCACATTGTTGATGATTACCGTAAATATGGATCGCTTGATAACTGCTCATGTTTTCCCTTTGAAAATTATTTAAAGTCTTTAAAAAAAATGGTACGTAAATTTGAAAAGCCTTTAGAGCAAGTTGTCAATAGGTATGAAGAATTTTTAACCTTTACTGAGCCTAAAATTTCCTCATCATCAAATAAGGAAATTGTGTTCAAAAAACCTCATAATGACGGGCCATTAGTTGAGCATTGTTCTGGGCCTCAATTTAAAATTATGATAATGAATAACTTCAAAATTAATATTAATTCTAGTTCTAACTGTTATATTGGATTTAAATGCAGAGAGAAATTAAATATTTGTAAAGTTGAAAATATTTCTAGCAAAAGTTCTAAAAATGTACTTATTGTTAAATGTTTTAATACAATTGAACCATTTTTTGTTAAACCAATTAATAGTTTAACTTTGGGTATAGCCGTAGTTGCAAATTTATCTAATATTTATATGACAATTAATATTCAAGAAATAAAACTAAATAAATATATGATTTTAAATGACTCCAACAATGTAAAAATTGCTATCCCTATATTACATTCTAATAATGAATTTATTGATTTTGTGTAAGTGTATAATTTTTAATGTGATATTTAAATAGTGCACATTTGTATTCTGTAAAAATAATCTTTTTTATTTTACACATTATTACCTACACTTTTAAACATCATGTTTAGCCCGATGAATATTTTTATAATTAAATTATAATCTTTAAATATGAAACTTGTTTTTATTTATTTTAAGTAAGAATTGATAAATTATACAACAATGGCATCCTACTCAGTAGTACATTTTACTAATGAAAACTCGGTCGAAGCAGTACCGAGTACATGGATTAAGAATGGTAAAAAAATTGGAGTTAAATTATGTGCTTGGCCCAACAATAAAGCATGTATTATGAAGTACATTCAAAATAAACACATGCCCAATGAAATTGATTTTAAGTATTTCAAAGTACGAGTATTGAAAAAAAATTTAGGTAACTTGTTTAAAAATATAATTTCAGTGTTTTAGTTAATTATTTACTAATTGTTGATCGTATAATTTTATATAGAGTCACTAACAAAGGCTAGAGATATAGCAGATGATGCTAGATATAGGTCAGATTTTACAAATACTGATGATGATGATTTCCTTAACTTCAGCATTAAAAATAGAAATATTATGAATTCACCGGCATCATCAACTTCATCAATGCCTATTTATGGTAAAATAAATATATGGTATATACAGGTAATAGTTAACTTTTTTTAAGCTATTTTATTTTGTATTAAGATGAAAAAACTGATGACAAAAATATTCCAAACAATCAACACTCACCGATACAAATAATTGAACACACAAAATCTAAGTTGCATTACGGATGGTCACCAATTAAACCACTATCATCTTCAAAAAAAAATGAAGGTAATTTGTATTTTAAATATTTTGCTCATTTAAGTACTGTATTTAAATTGACCTAATAATGGTTCTTGATTTTTCAATTCATTTTTGTAGTTTCAAAACACAAATTAAATGAATCTACTGATCAAGTTGACCGAAGTATTTATGGTAATAGTTCATCCAAAAATCTAAATGGTAATTGTTAAATATTATAAGTATATTAATAATAAAAAATATGTATGTATATATTTATTTTAAAAATGAATTGTTTATTTATATATCTATTAATATTGCATATTTTACAGAGAAAAACAAAATCGTGAGGCAACTTTCCTATTTTGATAAAACACCTACTACAATAAAAAAAAATGAACAAATATCACGTGAGTTGTTGTTTATTAATTACTATATAATAATATTATTGTACCTTACAATATAATATAATATTGGCTACCTATACGAAAAAAATTAATTTTAAATAATGATCTACAAGTGGATTTATTTTTTTTTTTTAATGTATATAATTCAATACTAATGATAATTTTATAATATAATAAGGTACCCCTGTATCGAATCAAAGTACCATTTCTGACGAATTGGAAGAACCTCGTGAAGTTCATACTCTTCGTAACACAAGTAGTGGTAACTTTCTAACATAATTTTATATTATTTACTAATAGCTGATACATCTGTACAATATTTACACAATTTTTTCAATACTTTAAAAACATCATTACTATAATAATAACTACTTTTAGTATTATTTAATATATGAAAAACTAAATTTAAAAATCAATGGCTTAAATTGGTTAATACACTTCATTTTTAGGAACAAGATTATTTATAATTTTGGTATTATTTAGATTGTGTGGTTGATTACAGTTTGATTTTGTATAAATAAGTCTTTTGTAAATTGATTTTTCATTACTTTTTTATAATTTTATAATTATTTTTTTTTTTTAATATGTCTTATTGTTTTATAGATAACCAGCCATATGTTTCGAAAATAAGCAATAATGTTTCAGAAGGCTTATTGTCGAGTTTCAATTCTAATGTCAATCAATCTGCAGGTAATATAATATTATAAATTTTATAATTGTTACGACCATAATATACAATAGTACTTATTAAAAATTTATATTTTGTTATCCAGGAGATATTGAATTCCAAAGCTATGTTAACAAAAATATGGCTTTTCTGAAAATAGAATTGAAACAAATTCAGAGCAGTCAACTAGTTATTTTGGAACGTCTAGACTCAATACAGTTACAATTAGGAGATCAGCCTCGGGTCTATGACAAAAATATTTCAATTAACAAGTTGAATGAGTGTTCATTACCAATTGATAATATCACAGATTTACAAACTTTTGAAGACAAAATTGCTGGTGATAGCGAATTTAGAACATGTTTGGTAATATTTATAATTTGTAATAATTAGCAAATTGAAAATATAGTACATTAATCTAAAGAACAAAACAAATTTATTTTTAGGTTAAGGAGCTTACATATATAGGTGGGAAACATACCAAAGCAATGGTACGGCGAATAATGGCAAAATTGTGCACGGATGAACTATTGCAACACTATTCCTACAATGGAAAAAAAGGAAAGATTCCATTTTGTTCATTGAGCATTTGTTCTGTTATATTTGGTAAGATTTTAATTCTATGTTTGTGCATATAAAATATTTGCAGTAATAATACCTATATTAAAATGTTATATATACTATTTATAAATAATATATTATCATTAGAAATACTATATACATTTTTTGTCCAAATATTTTGGATATTTTATATACTCTATTCATAATATAAGAAGTGATCTAGGTGTGACTATAATTTTAGATTCTGAGTGAAACGATGAATGTATTGATTTTACAATGATGTGTGTTTTTTTTTTTATTTTTTTTTTTATTTTATTTTTTATTTTTTTTGTGTCTGTGTACACGATAAGTAGTCGAAATAATGCTTCGATTTTCGACTTCAGTATCTTGTTCGATTGGAAAGTGAATATCGTTGGTGCATTGGGGAGGTCAAAATTTAAATTTCCCAGTAGTTTTCAAGAGCGCCGGGAAAAACAAAAGAAAAATTAAGGAAAAACGGGAATTTTTACGCAAAATCGATTTTTCAGAAAATTGAATTTGGTTTTTGGTGTAACTTTAAAACAAATGACCGTAGGTACATGCAATTTTCACTGGTTGTTTATATTTGCATCTTCTATACACGATAACATTTTCAAAATATTTTGATTTATTTTGAACAGTTTAGGGACATTTTCATTTTTAGTTTTTTTTTAGTTTTTTTTCTAGAAATATCAATAAAATTTTATTTGTTGGTTGCAAAAGCTTGAAAAT